CTTGTCCTCACGTCTCCCACTGAACTTTTGAATTTTTCGATGATACATAAATTATCGATCTGGTTATCCATGGTGTGATCCGGTAGGACTCAAGTAACTTTATGAAAATTGCATATATAGCAATGTTAATAATAATATATAATATTGTACCACCTCTAAGCAATTTTTTGAACGCATATAGATTAGTAAATCTTTTCCCATTTTCATTTCGTTCTCCCACTCCATTTCGTACCATGATATCTGCATATCCGATATCATCCATTCCCACTTTGGCCTTTATATCTCACATAATAATGCTAAGATCTTTTCTTGATAAATGCATTACACTCGATCACATCCTCTTACAGAACTAATCTTTATTGTCGTCATCCCTATCGTTGACAGGTGTATAACATTAAATAACGTTCATCGTGATTCCCTGCTTCTTTGTTTTGAAGGATGCTTTAAGGATTCTGGATGTGTGAGGTTTTCATCTCACAAGTGTTTAATGTGTTTTTTGAACAGCATTAGAGTAACGCGCTAAGTGTGAGGATCATTTTCCTCTTCGCGAACGAAATAAAGTAGCATCTCTGTCGTATATAGCTGTTGCTGTCTAGCCTCTGTTCAATGAGTTTCGCTGATTCCGAGTACTACTAATTTGTATCTCCTTATTCCCGTTGCTAATTGACTAGTCTTCTCGTCTTCCACGTTGTCCGAATTTTCCATGTACTTACACTAATCAATTGTTGCTCAGCCTCGTGACTTCCAACGAACCTCGACTTTTGCCACGAAGCGTGACAATCCTTGTGAATGAGGATCCTTAAGTCGTTTATTCTGACTAATGTTTTCGTAGCAAGGTTGTTTTCCTGCGTGATGTGGTTGGTGACTCTATGCTCAATAGTCCTCCTCAACCCGTGGTTGGGACAAACAGTAAGACTTGTGGAAATACAGACGGAGGTATGATGCACAAATGACGACAGAAATTTTCTCAGGACTTTTAAAATGATCATAAGGAGAGGGACACGACCGAAAAAATCACCTGGAATGACCCCAAATCCTGTGCCACCTTATATTGTGCACTCTGTTGAGTCGATGTTTGGAAGGGAGATTCGGACCTCATCTGATATTATGTATCCACAAATAGGACACATGAATATAATCACAAAGCACAGCGAACCGAATATTGGCTTTTTAATTGGGTGAAATGCAAATCACATCCACGACAGAGGAATACGTTCGGATAAAATACCTCTAGGCTTGGTCCTGCGACAAGATTATTTGATCAATACGATCAGTTTGGAGCGTCAGAACAAGCGTGGAAGAAGTGATGACCAACCTCAAAGAAAACCAATAAAAAGACGGTATTTACATCAATAAAATTAGTTAAATCCAAAGAGCAAGACATATTTTTTTGTAAGGAAAGGTTATATGGAGGCCCAGTCGGCGGCAATCAAAAGTGACACGACGGACAAGTGCTTTTCATTGGGGTCACTGAATTATTTTCTAATGGACAAAGTGGCATATACATGGATTAGTATTTGTGCATTTCATTCGGCAGTCAAATGCGCTTTCTCACTGTTGCTACACTGGCTGTCTTCGTCTGCGTTTGTTCATTCGTATGGAATAAAAGAGTCAGTGTAGTGAACGAGAACACAAGTGGAGACAATCGAATGTACTTGATCACAAATAACAGAACCTCTTATTATGATCTGAGAACCATACAGTAAATACTCCATTTGCAAAATGTTCAAAAATTGTTGCAAAATTCATTGTTCCTGCATTTCCACACCAATTGCTTTCTGTCCCAGCTATTTCCTCTTCGATCTTATCGGACATCTGCAGCAGGCATTCCGTTACTTATCGGTGTTGTATGTGACTTATGTCGACATAAGTAGCACACACTACAAAGTCTTTAGTTAAAAGACTATAATGATACACCATTTTGAATAATGATTAACAAGACAGTTTAGTACATAAAGGTTTAATCTCCAGAGGGATCTGTCAACACTGATGTTCACATTTTCACCTTGAACTCAGCATCGGTAAACTTAAACATTATACTCTACTAACTACTAACTACTGACCTGCTGATTCACAATAACTAACAACTTATTCAAGGTAAGTATGGAGAATTATAATCTTTAACTAGCAATTCACAGCATCCTCGTCTGGGTGGTTTGTATCCAGTAATCTATAATTTAGAGACTTCATTAGGTCGTACCACAACTCTAGGATCTAAAGATTTTAGGTTCCTGAAGGAAATAATGAACTCCATACTGCCAATCAATCATGCGATAATAATAATATATTTCTGCATGAGCAGGTAAACGCCATTTTTACAGGCATGATCCACAAATTACAACATTTGTTGGCGCACAGCATACTTCCCAACTTATTAAGTTTACAGTTACTATAAAGTAGACTCGTAGAGAGCTTGCTGTAAACCATGACCTTGAGGAGACGCGTACGTCAAGTTTGTGCCCTCTGAGCAAGATTTTAAGGAAAAAAAGAGAAGGGCAGCTAGGCACTTGGATATAAACGCCAAACGTTGCTTAACACTTTGTATTATTATGGTAGTAGGATCACGGGCCACTAAAAGTTATGCAGAGAGGTGACCATGATACAATTTGATCGACTGAACTTCATCAATCGTATTGTGAACTAAACAAACATGACATTTTGTCACTACTCAGTATTCAAACAGTTATTCACGTGAATTATTGACTGAACCATCCGTTCACTCATTGTTATATCTATCTTGTTAATAAATTCTTTGCTCTTATAGTGTTGGTCAAACAATCTACGAAGAAACCCTTCGAGACTCAGTCAACTAAGAAGTTAAATTGTTGGAAGTGGACCTTGACATCAGTACCCACGAATCTGCTAAAAAGCAAACTGTTAGCGGGATATGGATTGGATTAAAGCAAGTTTCGTGTACGATTGTGTTGGATCACTGTGATTGGCTATTTCCTAACGAATCAACGCCAGCGGCTACTTAGAAAACACTCTTGAATCTTCGTATATAAAGAATTATAAATCTGACAACGTTTTTCTTGTTGTGGCTCATACTTCCACCGGACCTTGTTATTTGGACTACAGTCACGTTCCTGTTAAACCGTGTTGTGATTTAGGGACTTGTTGAGTAAAGTAGTGTCCAAGAATACTGAGCATTAAGTGTAGCTGGGTCATAATAAGAGGATTTATAACAATATGCTAGAAAAGATTCTCATACTATAACTAATTGGCTACACAGTGCTTGTTAGTTTTTAATGGTTTAAGAACTAAAATTGGTTGGTGAAATAACTTGTGTAATACAGCAATATAATCAAGCCCTTTACTTCAATAATATCCTTTATTCTGGTTTTTAACGTTATTTCAGTCAATGTCATTGCACACCTCTCACCAAATATAAATCTCAGTTACTTATTATGTGAAAGGTGATGTGAAATTTCATACATCAACCAATTAAATTCTAACAGATATATAATTATCAGTACAGGATAGTGGAGATTGTTGATCTTCATAGAATTATTCATTGCCGTATAATTAGTCTAATACGCACACAGTTGTACAGCTTTGGACATACTCGTCGAAACAGATTTCTTCGAATAGAGTAAATTATTTTACGATTTGATGCACACGTATTTATATAAACTGTCTTAATCACTTGCGAGTAAACAACTGAATAGTTAAAAAAACATTGCATACATCACTGTGATTAGTAAGTTTAGAGTTACGGAATGGTGACAATGATAGTTGTGAATTTCATTTGAAATCGATCAATAGAAACAAAGCATGTTCAGTTCTTCAAATCAATAAGAATGGTTTTTTAAGTCGAAACAAATAGAAACCTATGACAATTAGAATTATTTGAATTATAGTATGAACTAATAATCCCAGAAATAACGTATACGGATCAAGAACTACTAGATAAGCATGAACGAATGTACTATATTTAAAATTCGAAATCAGGCATTCAACAAGTACAAAGGAGTTATTAGTTCATTCAAACACCACAAAACTTTACGTACATAACTATGCACGTCGGTGACAAAAGAAATCGGACATTTGATACGATAAATTTCCTAAGAATTAACATTGAATCAAAAAAATATGTTGTTGGATTAAGAGGATTACAACGAATAAGGATTTTGTGATAAGAATAAAGGTGATATATATATATATATATATATATATATATATATATATATATATATACTATGCGGATCAAACAACCAAAGTTGGGTAATTTAACTCTTTATCATTAGAAACACGTTTTGAATTGATATTCATTTGAACTAGCGCACTTGGAAACATTTGTTAAATTTAGTCTTTTAGAAACAATTAATTTTTGAAATAAGAAATCCAATAAAGCATTGAATAATTCTTTCTTGAGCAATACACACTTATTATTTTATACCAGAGAACATTGAGGTATCACATTGATTATAATAGTTTGAGACTAATTATTTGTAAATTCTAAGGATATCAAATACAAAAATACTTAATCAATGTCATCATTTAGCTATTTATATACTCTCAAACGTTCTGTCACTAAATTCACAGATTGAAACTTACTCCATTTAGTACACTTGAGACAACTGTGTAGTATCATTAATCTTTACACTTATAATATGTCTTATACGTATGTATCTTTTGAATGAGTTCATTTATTTTTAATTATTATTCTAGTTTCTATTTTAATTTTAAGTAAGGTCTTGATTACATATTACTGAACAGTTTTATACAATACTTAAAAAAAACATCTATTCAATACTTTTATTATGAAAAAAAAACAAAGAAAACAAAAACATGGATAAAAATAAGTTTCACTGGTTGAAATCATGAATCCATTGAAGCTAGACCACCATGGAAAACCTGGAAGCACTGGACGGCCGTTCCGTCCTAGTATGGGACTCCTCAGCAGTGTGCATCCGCGATCCGGTTCCTCGCGAGATTCGAACCCAGGACCTATCAGTCTCGCGCCAGGCGCTTAACCAACTAGACCACTGAACCGGCATCCAGCGGTGTTAATGTCTAACTTCAACCAATCCACGAAGTTGCGCCACCGTACACCATTGTCTTCAGTGAGCTGATATCTCACAACAGACCTGGTTGAACTCCACTGGTAACGGCTTCTCACTAGAACTTCAGGAGTATCTCTTGAAGTCAGTCACTAGTGAGCAGATGATTATTATTAGCAGAAGGGATTGTGTGGAGATTTTAGAAATTTCACTGATTGAGGAGCGGGATCGTGGATGCGCACTGCTGAGGAGTCCCATACTAGGACGAAACAGCCGTCCAGTGCTTCCAGGTTTTCCATGGTGGTCTAGCTTCAATGGATTCATGATTTCAACCAGTGAAATTTCTAAAATCTCCACACAATCCCTTCTGATAAAAATAAGTTTATTTATTTATTTATTTTAACACATAGGTATTGGTACAAGGAGGCACCAAATACATATGCGCCACACGAATCTCAGTTGATTTGTGTGAGAGCTGTGATACTGCTCGAGTGCCCAAACCGAAGCAGGATATAAAAATAAGTAAAACAAATTGAATAAGAATAATTTAGAAACATTTAGTGAATAGAAATACATAGAGAATTGAAAATTGAATGTATTTTCAAATGAAACAATAAATAAACTGAGGAATAAAATAATGATCATATTATTACATCAGAAAAAACAATAATAAAAATGAATTTTATTCTTTAAAACAATTGAGAGATGACAAAACAATGAAAATTACGAAAACAGATAACGGTAACACTATAATTATTATAAATAAAATAGAGTATGAGAGAAAAGTAAAGGAACATCAACAAGAAGATCTATATGAACAAATTAAAGAAATCAAAAATAGAACAATTCTAAATAAACTCAAGGCGGATACAAGCAAACTCTTACAAACATTGAAGACTAAGCTAGGATTGTCCTTATGGTTTAAGTTATATCCTAAGTGTTGTAACCCATGCAGATTTTTTATGGACTACGAAAGATTTACAAAAGCAATACTCCACTAAGACCAGTGGTAGATTTTACAAATTCATTGACTTACAATCTAGCCAAGTATTTAACTAAGATAATCAAACCATATGAAATACTGATTAATCATGGAATTAAAAACTATATGGAATTCAGGAACATGATTGATACCATCGATATAGAAGAGGATGAAGTAATGACAAGTTTTGATGTATCTTCGCTATTCAGTAATGTACCTATAAATCGAGCCTTGGATATTATCAATGATGGTTTAGTAACTGATTTAAATTTGAATATACGTTGCCCATTAGATCCATTGAAAGTTATCAAATGCTTAGAAATATGTTTAAGATCTACCTTATTCATATTTCGAGGTCACCTTTACAGACAGAGAGAGGGTATAGCAATGGACTCATCAGTTTCTTCGATTGTAGTGAATTTATTCATGCATTCTATAGAAACTAGGGCAATCAATAGAATTGTATATTCACCAAAGTTATGGTTACGGTATGTAGACGATATTTTTATTATCAATAAACGGGATGGTTTGGAAGAACTATTTAACAATATAAACAATATGTCAGAAAGCATTAAGTTAACGAAGGAATTAGAGTCAATTGACCACAAACTAGCATTTCTAGATTGTTTGGCAGAACATCGACACAATAATAAAAAGTTGAAAATAAATATTTACAGGAAACCAACACACTCCGAGAGATACTTAGATTTTGATTCAGCACATGCACAATGCACGAAAGTTAACGTTGTAAAAAAATTAATGAACAGAAGCACGAAGCTTGTTACAGATAAAGAAGATCAACGAACTGAATTAAATAAAGTATTCTCTACTCTTAGGGACAACAACTACCCAAAAGAGTTTTTAAAGAAGATTGTTACAAATCAGAGAAAAACTAAACTAGAATGTATACGAAAAGATTGGAAGTACACCGTAGTCATACCATACCGTAGTGAAACATCAGAAGAAATAAAAACGATACTTAACAAACATGATATAAGAGTGTATTTTAAGGCGACTAGCACCTTAAGATCAACATTGGTGAAAGTTAAAGACAGGTTACCAAAGGAAGAACAACAGAATGATGTGTATGAAATAAACTGTCATGATTGTAATGCTGCCTAGGTTGGAGAAACATCCAGACAATTGAATGTAAGGTTGAAAGAACACAAACAATGTTTGAAAACTGTTCCCAAATCCCCGGTTGATTTGAAGAAGCTAGAGAATAAGTCGGCGATAGCGTTACATGCGTTAGAAACAAGACACAAGATCAATTTTGAAGGGGCCAAAATACTTCAGAAAGGTTTTAACACCCATAGGGAAAAATTGACAGCAGAAGTGCTGTATATGTATCTGTTTGATTCTTAAATTTTGACATGTACATTGATTATTCATTAACAATTATTCAACCTTGAACGTGCACTTTTAAGTAGTTATTTACTTATCCTTCCATATATAACATATCAACACAGAATATCAATAATTAATCTAACACATACACTTGATGTTATTTCCATGTAGCTGAATTTTTCACATGATTTGTAGTTAACTGACTCATTTTATTCTATTTTACAAAAATCAACATCCAAATTTGATTGTTTTAACACAGTATAGTTATGATTGTTACAACGCTATATATTTTATTTGATGATTTTGATTTTGTTTATTCTACCCTGAAGAAGTTCAGACAAGTTAGCAGGACGAAACGTTGGAATTATTTAAATTTTAATCGATGAGATTATTTCAAAATTAATTTTCATATATAAAATTATAATTTGCCTAAACATTAGTACAAACAGGGAAAATTACTCAATCAAGGCCTTATCAACCATTGATTGAATGATAATCCATCATCTCAACTCGACTGCTCCTTTCACAAATATTACTCTATTGTCTCAGACCTCGTTGTTCATGCGTTTTCATGGCAAATGCTTTCCATCCCCGTCCTTTTCTTCTCAATCTTCTACTGAAATACATTCTATGCCTGAATATCATTATATACCACTTATGTGGATATAAGTAGCGTACATTTCAATAATCACCTGTACGTGGTAAGTAACAGTTTCGAATATATGAAGACGCACTGTTGAATTGGTAGATGTTGGAAGATTGACCACACGACGAATAAAGAGGGGTCATACTTGTATCATAATTATAGGATAAAGTAGGTGAACAATAATTTCGTATTTTACACATACATATAGCTAGAAGTGTGAACGGTGTCAGTATTAAGGCATTCAACCTAAAATCACGAAGTACAAAGTTTGAACGTCACTTCATTCACTTCTGCACGACAGAAAACTATTTAAGGTCACTGACAATTTTACACAAAATATGACTTAAAGCCAATCGTATTCATTAGTGCATGATTATTGATAATTTAAGTACATCTGCAGCCGTAACAGCATTAACAAACTGCTCAACAACTTTTAATAAAATTGGATTGTGACTACTAGCAAAATTAAGGACATACTTCTCATTCAATTTAAGAATTTATCAACTGGATATATTTGTACTTCATTGTTGATGATTATAGTGAAACACCAACCCAGTACGTTTTACATATATACATCTGAAGTGTCTTATCTAGAAATGATCATTCAATCACATTCAATCAATAGAGACAAAAACCCTGATATTTAGATTGTTAGAAAAAGAAATGTTAATCCATAATCTAAATTATACCAACAGCAATGAGAACAAACACAATCTTGAAATATTTCGAAGAAATCAGTTAAATCTCTGCAAAGGAACCACAAATGGTGAAACACTGTGCTAAAAACTACATTTATTAAAATGAGTTTCAGCCAAACCAGAGCATTTGTTGAGTACAGCCGAATAATCAAATAGCAGAATGATCAAACTTTGAAAAACCACCATAAAACCTTATTGTAATTCTGATTTTTGTCATCTCATTTTAAAGGGTTGCATTGATGTCCTTTTTTTCTCAACTGGGCTATTTTGTTGATTTGTTCAGGAATTCATTAAGTGCATGGAGTAGATCAAATCAAATTTCTTATGACATACATACTTGTTAGTCGCGTTTACCAGCATCTTCTGCTAAGAATATGAAGATTTCGAAATCCACCAAAGAGTTCAAGAATAAATGATGGCACCTGTTCATAAGTACACCTACTGTTGGCCCCAATCACATGAAACTAGTCAGACACCATGTTACCAAATAAATTGTGATTTGTGGTCAAGATTTGAACGAAATGACCAAACACCAACTGCGCTGACATATATCCACAAACACATGTAATCAATCATATCATAAATACTGTCTTATTTTATATTGTTTTATTTCTTGAATTCGTCGACAATTGACCATAACGATCTTTATTTCGACTTTCGACAGTTTGTTACTACAACATTTACGACAGAACTGCCGAAACAAGCCTATACAGAGTTATGATATGATCAATTATTTAAAGTATTTGTTTAAATATGAATTTACGCACAACTTATGTTTCCGCAGTCCATAACGATTAGGGCAAGCCTGACTTCTGCAACCTGCAGTGTCAAAGATAGAAGGGAATGATTCTCATATCACAGCAATGAGACACATAAGTTTTAAGAATCTTGATTAGCGGGTGTAAAACGTCAGTACCGAGAATTAAGGGTTTTGTAAAACAAAGAAAATCGGTATGGTTAGTAAGATAAGCGTGAAGAACCACCTACTATAAAACATTTTCATCATGTTGAACGATGTTCACTAGAAAATACATTTACATACCTGTGGTGTTTGAATAAACTAATGACTCCTTTGTACTTGTTGAATGTTTGATTTCGAATTCTAAATACAGTACATTCGTTAGTGCTTGTGTGGTACTTCTTAATTGAATTGCGTTATCCCTGGGATTCTTAGTTCATACTTTAATTCAATTACTTCTAATTATCATATTGGCGTCGCGATGGAGCCTGCGATGGAACAGTTAGATATTCATTCGGATTTTGATGCTTATGAGGATTACTTTGAAAGGTTCGAAATCTGGGCTATGGCCAAGGAAGATGATGAGAATATTAATATTGTGGCACATTTTCTCACATTCATCGGAAAAGAAGCATATAGCTTAATAAAAATTTTGGCTTTACCGGAAAAGCCCAT